CCAGCCATATGCCTTGACTGGGAATGGAACCAGCAACCTTTTGGAGCATTGGATGATGCCTAATCAACTGAGCTACACTGACCAGGGCCCGAAGTGTTTTGTTGTTGTTGTTTTCTTACTGATTTTAGAGAGAGAGGAAGGGAGAGCGAGAGAGACATAGAAACATTGATCAGAGAGAATATAGATTGGCTGCCTCCTGCATGCCCCCTACTGGGGTTTTGGCCCACAACCTGGGCATGTGTCCTTACCAGGAATCTAACTGGCAACCTTTTGGTGCATGGGTCAATGCTCAACCACTGAGCCACACCAGCCAGGCAATTGTTTGTGTGTGTGTGTGTGTGTGTGTGCGCGCGTGTTTAAACTATAGAGAAAGAAATGGACAAGTTACCTTACTTTAAATGAGACTGAGATTCTCAGCTATAATTCAAACTCTGGGTTTGGAGAGTTTAACTAGATTTCCTAAAATCATTTCAAAATATCTAATCTAGAAAAGTAAAAACTAACAGTTAAATCCACTTGTTAAACACTATTTTTTTTTGGAAAGTCAATGACTAAAAATTGATTTCCACATATCAGTGGCAATTGTAAGTATAACCTTGGTTCATCATACCCAGTGACACAGTTTCCAAGTTAAAATGTTCTTCAGGAAGCATTCAGAAAATACTAAATTTTTGATTGCCAACTGGGAATGCAACAGAGAATAAATAGAGATGTGGGCCCTGCTTCTCAGCAAGCTTACAGTCAGTTTAAAGAAACACAAGGGGAACAACAATTGAGTGTACTTTGCATTAAGAATTTATGTTTGAAAATAACCTTTAAAATATCTCTTTCCTTACTAACAACCCCTATATTATCAAGGGCTGTAACATGCCAACTAATGATAAATGGAATTATTTCTCAGTCTCCCTTACAGATAAGAGAGGCCAAGGAGATGCTAGCAGAAGTCATTTGAGTTTCAGGGGAAGCTTTTAAAATGACATTTATGTAGGTGGCAGGTTTTCCTTTGCCCTTCTAATTTTTTGCTTCATTCTTCCTGCTATATGGACATGATGTCTGGTGCTGTAGCAACCCTCTTGTACCATGAGGTAGCCTTGGTGAAGGTGGACAACAAAGATAAAAGGAATCTGGGAAACTCAATGTCATGCTGTCACCTTATTGGCCTGGAACTGTTTACTAACAGACATTTACATAAGAGAAACTCTTCCTTTATCTCATTTAACAGAGTTATTTTCAGAATCTATTATTTAAGGGCAACCATAACTTCTCTTTTAAACCGATCTTGGACACAGATTAAAAAATGCATTTCTCTGGAGATGGAAGAGCATGTCAAATAGAATTTAGAGAAAAGACAACAACCATATATTCTTATAAATTTCTTTAGAAATGTCCTAACATGCGTAGAAACTTAGATAAGACAACATCTTCATGCACAGCTTTCTTGACACCCTCAACCCCAAATGACCACCATTTCCATTCTCGAATGCCTGCACCTTGACCTTCAGCTCTAAACATTATTTTAACGTCAAGATCACAAGCTCCATATGTCTTCTCTGTTTCTATTACACTCTCCCACACCCCAGGGACCACTGCATTTGGTCTGAGTTCTCATCAGTTCTCCTTCTCCCTCGAACAGGTTTCTCTTGGCCTTATTTTTGCTTTCATTCCTAGTGATGCATTTTGCAGATTCTGCCATCGCTCCTCCAGAATTCCTTCTCCCTTAGAACTCTAGGGTCCTAACCATGTCTTTTGAAGGGTTTGAGTGGGTTCACAGATTACATTCAAGGAAAAACTTAACTTTCGACATGTAGGGGAGATGGCCCCTTGGATAAGAATGTCAGTTGGCCTCTTAAATTTTAGAAACATTGTCATCATCATATCATCATCTCGCTATCACTGTCTTTTTCAACACCACCTTTTTATTTTATTTTTTTAATCACCATCTTCTTCATCACTTCCTTTATTATCCCCCTGTCCTCATCCCTGCTGTCTTGGATACCACCTTCTGAATGACCGCCATTCTTATCACTTCTACCCTCATCCCCAATACTCAAGAGAGCATGAGGTGACCAGCACTAAGTGCCTTTCATCGTCAGTTCATTTAACACTCACAAGAACCTAATGAGAATGTCCCTAGTGCACACACGCGTGTCCCGAGTCTGGTCAGCTGGACTCAGATCCAGCTCTGTTCCCGGAACGCCCCCTTCACGTCTCTGTTATACTGCCTCTAGCAATTCTCATGCATCCAAAATGCATGGATCATTCCTCAGCAACAAACACCAGCCTCCAGGGACATGTTGGAAAATTGAACTGTACATTCCCTTTATCCAACATTGGACAAAGACTGCTTTGGGACACATGATACCTAAGAGAGAGAGCGAGAGCGAGAGCATTTGATGCTCTGGCTAGCTACTGATCCATCTCATTTTATTATTTATATCTCTTTAAAAAAAACAACAACATATTTTTAGAAAGAAAGAAGGAAACATTGATTTGCTGTTTCACTTATTTATGCATTCATCGGTTGCTTCTTGTGTGTGCCCTGACTGGAGATCGAACCTGCAACCTTAGAATATTGGGACGATGGGGCTCTAACCAATTGAGCTACCCGGCCAGGGCCTTAGTACTTATCTCTTTGTATGAGTTGAACACCAGCTCTGCCCTGAGAGAATCTGAAGCTCTCTGCTCAACGTTCATTTGAAAAGAATTTTTATGCTTTTGTCAATATCCATAGGTGAAGAATATATTTTCATTATGCTATTCAGGACCTTTAACTTTACATTAAGACTATGTTATTTTTTTCCCTTGAATTCAGTGGTATTAACAAAAACAATCAAAAATAATTTCTCACAATATTTAGTTCATGACTAGGCACATACTTTTCCCATCTGAGTAATAGGAGCCTCATTGAAATAAATAATTAATCTCACTCCCCTCATAACTTTGACAGGCTTTCTTATTTTAGATAGGTATTACCCAATTTCTATTTTCATTACTATGTCTATATCAAAAAGTACAATGTGCTTTGAATTCTTTTTTTTTTTTTTTTGCAATAGGTTCACCAGAAATTCTGCAGATAAACCAATATCCCCAGTGAATATTCTATGGGCCATTAGCTTCATGAGATAGGATGAGGTGGTCCAGGAAAAATTATTTCCAGGCCAAATAAGTCTGAGAAACATGAGGGTAATGATCAATCTCTACAGACCATATCTACCCTACCCCTCTTAGAGAAACATACAGCATTTTACTTTTTTATTTTTATTCCTTACCCAAGGATATTTTTCCATTTATTATCAGATAGAGTGGGAGTGAGTGTGAGAGAGAGAGAGACAGAGAGAAACATTGATGTGAAAGAGACACATCAATTGGCTGCCTCCTGCAACCAGGGCTGGGGTCGAACTGCAACTGAGGTACATACCCTTGGTCAGAACTGAACCTACGACTCATTGTTCCACGGACCCATGCTCTAACCACTGAGCAAACTGGCCAGGGTGAAACATACAGCATTTTAAAGCTACCCAGAAGCCCCGCAGTACAAGACATATTTCAAACTATTCATCTCAGTGTTCCCCACATCCGTTTGACCCTGACATCTCCCCTGGCCCCTGCCCTACAATGATGCAACTTGTGGAACAAATGTCTTGGAACAGCAGTTTGAGAAACATGAGGGTAATGAGCAATCTGTATGTAGTTACAGGAACACTGCATGGGAGCAAGGGAATGGAGCCCTATCAGCTACTGTGAACTTTGCTGTTGGAGGTTGGGATCCTGAGTGCCCAAGACTGCGGGGGTCGGGGGGGGCGGTTTCCTTCTCGGGGGATTCCTCCTCCTAGATGAGTCAGGCAGGGCTGCTGAGGTGGGAGGTCACTGGGTAGCCAGAAGGTGAGAGAGCCCACCTGTCCCAAGCTATCTGAAATAGTCCCTAGACTCTTGAGAGAGGAGGGGGGAGGGGGCAACTGCAAATGCAGACCTGGGTCTTTTCTCTGAATGCCTGGGGGTGTGGGGGGTGGGGACCAGCAGGGCAGCAGAGCAATGAAGTCCAGAGCATGACCCACATGGAGCTGTGTTCATATCCCCATTTCTGTCCTTTGCTCTGCACGGGACCTTGGAGCAGGGACCTGGATTCTCTGAGCTCAAACTAAGCTTGGTCATTGGTAAAAGGTTAATGAAATCAGCCCGGCACAGGTAAATAAGGCAGTGGATGGAAGGGGAAGAGCCTGTGGTGTTGTGGGGTGCAGAGGAAAGGCTTGGCGAAGGGCAGGGCTGCCATCACTGAATCTATGCTCTTGGTCAGTAGGAGGGGCGTCAAATCCTTGGCCCTGGCCATGACCCGCAGAGACCACGATTTGAGCACGTTGCCAGCAGATGCACGGTGCACCTGTCTTCCTAGTTTGGATACAATTCAGCAAAGGAGAATGTAATGTTGTGTACTGAGCCCATCCCCCACCAAATGGCTCCTTTGGAATAAATGTGAAACAACACCCATGATCCATAATTATAAAAGCACAGGGGCCCCAGCTAAATAATGGCTCTCCCAGACAAGGTAACTTGGTTGTTATTTACAAGCTCCTAGGCCTCCTTACTAGTGCCGAGAAAATCTGTTTTCTCTTTTTGCCGCTGTTCCGTTTGGTCTCTCAGTCTATACTTGCTGAAAAAAATAGTTATTGTTATGCTGAAATCACAGTGGGACTCACATCACTCAGCACTAAATGGCACCGATAAAACTATGGAAATGGCATTTTGGCATTGAAAGTTATTTTGTCATGGACTTTAACAAGATGCAATGCTTTTGTTCTCATAATACTCTGGCATTTTCAGCTTTACGAAAAAAACGACGATAGAAATGTGAACCGGTATTCTGGCAAAACATAATGTTTTCTCCAAAAGGGAGGGTTTTGATTTTGCAAACAGGGAACCAGCAGGGGCCAGGGTACACAGAATTGGACACCGATCAGCAGTCATGGTTGTGGCCACGAGGGTGGTGGTCCACAGGGGCTTACCTCTTTCTTGGTGAATTCTGGTGAGTGATCATTTTTGTCATCGATCAGGATTGTCGCCGTGGCTGTGCCTAGTAATCCGTAAAACTGTCCAACCATATCTTGAGCTTCGATGATCAACTCATACTTGGGATTTTCCAGAGTCTACAAAGCAAAAACACAACAGAGAAGATGGCATTGAGACCTGAGCAGGTGGTAAGCATGTCGCTAGAGCTGCCTCTGTGCCCTCCATCTCGGGCAGGTTTCTTTTTTTTTTTTAATCCTCACCCGTGGATACTTTTCCATTTTTTGTACAGATAGAGTGGGAGGGAGAGAGAGGAAGGGAGAGAGAGAGAGAAACATCGACGTGAAGGGACACATCGAGTGACTGCCACCCGCACGACCAACCAGGGCCGGGGACAAACCGCAACCGAAGTACGTGCCCTTAGCGGAAACCGAACCCGGGTCTCTCCGGACTGCAGGCCAACACTCTAACCGCTGAGCCAAACTGGCCAGGGCTCGGGCAGGTTTCTTTAATGTTCATAATACTTGTGCCTATGGTGTATAAGGAAGCCTTTGGGATCCCCCCGAACCAGTCACTATTCATAGTGGGGATGGAATCTATTTTCCGTTCTCATCGAAGGGGACACTTGACACTTTCCAGAATGTTTCATTTCTGGGGCTTGAGTGTACATTGCATGTTTGATATTTATACCCACATAATGTCACTTCACAGCAACCTCAGGAGACTGACCCAGAAATGAGATCACAACCAAGATGGCAGCCTTAGGGACTCACACTTCCTGAGCAATGGGTGGGCTCCTGTACTCTTCAGAAATCATCACTGTTCCTCTTCCCAACAAGCACGCGAAACCACATTTGCTGTTCCCGCTTTACAACTGAGGTTTGGTGTCACTTGTACTGAACATCTTTCCCATCACTTTTAGTCCCTGTAGTTTTTGGTGTCATGTTCCAGTTGGACGATGCATTTTAATCCAACCATGATCTGATGACTTGAACACAGGCAATATTATACTACTGTCTTTCAATGTCCACAGGTTTTCCCATTTGCATATTCAACAGACCTTTTGCTACCATGTTTAAACACTCAGGACAACGAACCAAGTGTCCTGATCCCAAGACTAAGAAAACTGCAGTGGTTGTTAAGTAACCACACCTGCATTTAAATTGCTTTCTGTTTTTTTCTTCTTCCCTTAGTCCCTTCAACGTTTTCACCCAGCCCCCCAAACCCCCTCCCCTCTGACAACTGTCATTCTGTTCTCTGTATCTATGAATCTGTTTCTCTTTTGTTTGTTAGTTTATTTTGTTCATTAGATTTCATGTATAAGTGAAATCATAGGGTACTTGTCTTTCTCTGACCAGCTTATTTCCGTTAGACACAGACAACAGTATGGTGATTACCAGCGGGAAAGGGGGGCTGGGAGGTAGAAGAAGGTAAAACGAGATAAATGGGGATGAAGGAGACTTGACTTGGAATGGTGAACACACAATACAATACACAGATGATGTATTATAGAATTGTACACCTGAAACCTATATAATTTTATTAACCAATTCCACCCCAATAAATTCAATAAATTAAATTAAATTAGATTGCCTTCTGTGGTGGATTTGCCTGTCTTGGTCAACCAGGATACCATTCTTCTGGGAAGGCAGCACCCCACATTTGTTTCGGGGACCTTCTGGTCGCTTATCCTCTGCCCAAGTAGTTTGGGCTGGATTGACTTTTCCCACCCTCCTTTTGGAATAAGCCCTGATTAGAAGAAGGCAACAAATGCATGCCAACCCAGGGGCATAATGACTAGTCCAGGCACAGGACCTGTGCTTGAGAGAGGAGAGAAGGAAGCATCCCTGTGTGATGAACCTGGAAGCATTCAGCCTAGGAGTTAGATGAGCCATCTCAGGCCACGGCAGAGGTGGGGCAACAGATGTCTGTCTGAGAATGAAGTCAATACACTGAGAGAGTTTGACTTGAATGGTGGAGGAAAAGGTCATGTTTCCCAGTGATTGTCCCGGAGTCATTTCATCACGCCATGCCCAAAGAAAGTCTTGCCTATGGACTTTCAGCTAATTAGGGCATTCATATTCCTTATTTGCTTAAACCAGTTTGGACTGGTTTCTTAATCACTCGCACAGAGAGTTCAAGTTGAATCACCTTCAATAACAAAAATTAAAGGATTTTTGTTATCGAAGGTCTTATGAGTTGCAAAAGTCCTACCAGTATAACAGCTTCAAAACTTTTGCTTATTCCTACCAATAATTAAGAAATACCATGGAAAGCAAAGAACAAAATGCAATGGGATCTACATTTTCCTTCTAAAGCTAAAAGTTCACATGGGAATTTTTAATAGCTCAGTGCTAGCTTTCCCTAAAATATTTTAGTGTTTTTAAAGGGTAGGAGCTGTGTGCTCCCCAGGGTACCTTTAATTGGTTGATTCTTTAAAATTTTTTTCTTTCTTATTGATTTTAGAGAGAGAGAGAGGAAGGGACAGGGAGAGAGATAGAAACATTGATGAGAGAGAACATCGATTGGCCGCCTCCTGCATGGCCCTACTGGGGATTGGGCCCACAACCTGGGCATGTGCTCTGACCAGGAATCAAACTGGCGACCTCTTGGTGCATGGGTCGATGCTCAACCACTGAGCCACACTGGTTGATTCTTAACTAAGCTTCTGAGCTACTAACTTAAGGAAAAGTGGTTCTGTTGAATGTGTGGAAGGCTCCAAACTCTAAATTCTAGAAGATGAGTGGGATGCCGATACACTCCTTGAACACGGTCACTTACAATATCCCACCCCCCAGCTTAATTGACATATAATTGACATGTCACATTGTTTAAGTTAAAGGTATACCACATAATAATTGGCTACACATATATGTTGGGAAATGAGCTCCGGCAGAATTGAAGGTCACAGAATTCTCTAACTCCTGAGTGCAATAGAATTTAACACCAAACCCAGCTTTGGGTAATTCTGGTTCTGCCTGGTTCAGTTGGCACCGCTCTGTGAAGGTGTTTGAAATGCCAGCTGTTCTCAAGCTGAATCTGGAAAATCAGCCTAATGTAACTGACTTTCCACTTATCATTGACAAGTTGAATTTGATTTACGATTTGCCATAAATGTTGCAGCTGGATGATAATAAAACCAATAAATTGGACCATCATCAAAATTTTCCCCAAGTGTCTTTAGATATACTAATCACTAGTCAGTTCTAATTTCTCGTATGACTTTTTTACTTTTGTAACAATATATTGCATGTTTTAGGAAGCATGTAATTGTAAAAATAAGAAATTATGTAGATTTTTCCCTGATATTGAAGAGATCATGATAAATTTAATATCATTTTCTCCATGTAATATCATTTACCAACATAATTTTTTGACATTATTTGAAGATGTGCATAAAATATAATCACATGAATACTTTATAGTTAACTTCTTTTATTATTAGGACTTTAGGTTATTTCTAGTCTTTAAAAAAAATTTGTTATTGTTGGCACTATTATAGATGTTCCCCCATTTTATACCCCTTCGCCCACCTCCACCCAGCCCCCCTTTCTGGCTTTCACCAAACTGTTGTCTGTGTCTGTGGGCTACACATACATGTTCTTTGACTAATCTCTTTACCTTCTTTTATCCAGTCCTCCCCACCTCCCTCCCCTCTGACATTTGTCAGTCTGCACCATATATCCATGCCTCTGGTTCTATTTTGTTCATTAGTTTGCTTTGTTAATTGGATTCCACATGTAAGTAAGATCATGTGATATTTGTCTTTCTCTGATTGGTTTATTTCACTTAGAATCTCCAGGTTCATTCATTCAGTCACAAAGAGTAAGCACTCCCTCTTTTTCACAGCTGTGTAGTATTCCATTGTGTAAACGTACCACAGCCTTTTGACAATCTAAATAACTGCAATGACCATCTTTATTCAGGAAATTGTCAATATATATTGACATTTCTTTTTGAATGATAGGTTCCAAGACATGGAATTACTAGATCAAAGAGTATGAAAATTTTAAGGCTCTTGACTCATATTTCAATATAGCTTTTCAAAAAAATCTCACCCATGCTCATTGCAGTTCTGCCAGCATGTTTAATTTATGATCTCAGGCATGGCTTGTCCCTAAGGAACAGCCAATCTCGCTCCACGAAGCAAACTGGGGCCCGGGTGTGATTCTGGGATGGCTCTCTGACAAGGATATCAATTCCTCACAGCATTTGCTCTTCCCCAGTTGGCAGTACAGGTTGCTATGGACATCTCCGAGCGGATATGTGCTGTGTTGCCCTCCCAGTGCCCATCCATTCCCTCTCCTCTGGCATCTATGCTATAATTCCCTTTGGGCACCACCCCTCACTCTCAGCACAGGTGGAGTTCAGGTAGGGTTGATACTATTCCTGACCTAGGGAGAGTCATGTGGCTCTAGCCTGGACAATCAGGGCCACCCATTTCCACGGCCATCTGATGAGCCCGTAACCCAAGTGAGGCTACCTGGGATTGAAAGTCAATTCCAGAACACATTTCTCTTAGAACTCTTAGGAAAAAGATGTCCTCTCTCTGTTGGACTTGGAGCTGGTTGTGGCCATCTGAAACCACACAAAATCAACCCGAGAAAGAAGACAACACAGAACAGGGAGGTAGAGATGGAGTTCTTTTAACCCCTCTAGAGCTTTTTCCGTAGTCATCTTTGAAGCCAGATTTGCCCCTTAGATTTTGTGAGTTCAGATTTTCTCCTTTATTATATTTGAATCAGATGTTCTGTGAGCGGCAATAAGAGTCTTGACGAATATTGCAACTAAGGCTATGAACAATTATCTGCAAGAACGTGTAAGCACTATCATATCCAACTATAGCATCACAATAGGCTCTTCTAACAGCATGCCAATCATTTCCTGAATACATAATTATTTCTTTTAATATTTTACCCTCCACAAGAACATTTTTTTGGGGGATCCGAGAAAATTATTATGTTTTTTTTTTCCATTAATTTGTTTAATTGGAAGTTATTGAACATCTAGTCTAAATATTGTGCTGGGTGCTGGGGATAGAGGGATGAGAAAACAGGGTCCCTTTCTGCAAGAATTTTAGGGTTGAGGACAGGGATGTTTGCATATAACTGCAACAAAATAGATTCACAACTAAGCAGAC